GACATTCTCCTGAAAGGAGAAACAGGATATGAACATTTGTTTTCTTGGGGTAAATGTTGGACCCTGTATAAGCTGTTGAAAGTTGAAAGAATTCAACTACAATTTCTAACAAATTGTTGAAGGCCTACGTTGAACTAACATGAGTATACAGAATCCCTGGGAGCTGTAGTCACAAGGAAAAATTGCACATATGTATATCATCTCCACAGACTTCACTGTGTACTTATAAGAGAGATTAGGAGCATGGGAGAAAGCTTCTATCTTGGTATAGGTATGGGAAAGGGGAACAATAGCTGTTGTGGAAAAGATAAAGCTTCACATAGAACCTTCTCCCCTATCTTCTCTATGGAGCAAAAGTTTAGCTGCTGTGGAAAGAGCAACAAACACTGTCACTCTCAATCAAGCCAGAGGTGAACGTTCATTGCAAGTAAATGAAGGAAACAAGAAAACACCCTCTGGCCTCGGGGAGGGACAGGAAAATACCCCAAGCCCAGATCACTTAGAGATCTCCTACCTTTGCAGGAGGAGTATGACCATTAAAAACAAACACAAAAACAAAAAACCTCCATTCCCAAGATCATAAGTATAGTGCCTGCCTCAGATGGAGACTGAACCAGAATAACAGAGAATGACTCCCCTTTGCCCTCTTCCACCTTTCTCTATCAGACTAGCTAGTCTTCTCAGGCACAAAGGAAAGACCTAAAACTGAATGGTAAGCAGATATTGAGAAAAATCCTCTGAAAAGTATTCCTCACTTTAAGTACAAGTTAAGACAAGAGAAATTTGAAGCTTGTGGTGCCCTGAGAGTAACCATAGAAACTAAAATAACAAAAAATAAACTCAGCTCAATTCTCAGCTATACTGACACAAACTCTTAAAATAGGAAAAGGCATGCCTCTTCCCAGGCATAAATACTATTTACACTTGTCTCTACTGTTCTATACAAGATATCCAGCTTTCAATCAAAATGCAGCATACACAAATAAGCAATTACAACACACACGCACACACACACACGTGCAAGTAATGATACATTGTCAAGAGACAAAACAATAAACAGAACCAGATTCAAATATGATCCACATGTTGGAACTGTCAGACAATTTAAAATAACTTTGGATAACATGACACAGATTCTGAAGGAAAAGATAGACAATGTACATGAAGAGATATGGAATTTCAAGTGAGATGTAAACTATGAGAAATAACCACATAGAAATGAAAGAAACGGAGAGCATGATTACAGAAGAGAAGAATCACTTTGTGAACTCATTAGTATAATCAACATGCTAAAGAAAAGAAACAGTAAACTTGGAGATAGGTCAAGAAAAATCTTCCAACCGATAAGCATGAAACAAACAAAATAACAGCTCATCCAAGAGATGACAGACAATATTGAATGGTCTAAGATGAATGCAACTGGAATCATAAAGAGAAGAGAGAAGGAAAAAATACTTAAATACGTAATGACCAAGAATTTTTCAAAATCAATACATTACAAAAAAACCACAGATCTAAGCCCAGAGAACACCAAGCAGTAAATACTTCCCAAACACACCTACAAACATAATATAGGTTTTCCCCATTATCCAAAAGTAGAGTGTTTCTGAAACATTTCATAAGTCAAAATGGTATAAAGCGAAGAAGCAATAACCATTAATTTATATGGAAAAGTTTTTTAGCATTCTCAGACCCCAAAAATAACCTCTCTTAGGCTTTTCTGATACCTTAGGGCACATCTTGCTAATGGATGCACAAAATAAATAAAGCACAAATGCTTACAGCCACAGTTCAAAGATACGGTGGGTTGATGCTGAGATGTTGAGTACAGTTCCTGGGGAAGAAGCTTGGTGGTGCCACTGTCACTGCTTGGGGTGTGTGATGCCCCTATAATGGTCTGGCTCATTGCAAAACAAATGCCGAATGCTATTTTCACTTTTTGCCTTTTTTTTTTTTAGTAAAAATCATTTTGAGATTTCTTTCAATTAGTTAAGAACAGGTACAAATGTAGGTCTTTTGTAAAAGCAAACTGGCATAACGCAAATTTTTAAAAAGTGGGGGATTATTTGAAAGAAAGTTGTCTTTCAATAATTTCCATTGAATTAACTAAAAAGTATTGAAATTAAATTAGTAGGTACTCTTAGGTTAATAGCAGTTTATATTCTAAATAGCAAATAAATGCCTCATATTTGGCCTAAGTAGTAGCTCATGGGATTTAAGATATGAAAATTAGTTGTATGTAGTTTGCATATTTCAGCTTGAAAAAAAAATTCTTCTTCAGTATCTTGAAAAAATAGAGCACTAGGGGTAAAGCTTGTTAAACAAAGGTCAGTTTCCAACCAGATAAAAAGACTTGTTTATAATTAATCTGATGGTGATAAAAAGGCATTTAATTAGATTTCCAACACAAAATGGGAAAGGATAGGTCTGGGGTCTGAAACACAGTAGAGTTCAGCCATCTGCTGCCAGCTACCTCTTGCCAACATGTGATTTGCAAGTTAAATTATGCCAGCTGATGACATATGGCACTTCTTTCTTCTTTAAATATCTTACTCAAAATGAGTTTGCTCTCAAATGCTGAGGTTGGATTTTCAGCAATCACAGCAGTTGCCATAATTTTCCTTCATAAACAAATTTAAGCAGTATAGATTTAAATTGCTAGCTCCTGTGTTACTGTCCTGTGATATGATTGTGAGTTAGAGAAGTCTGACCTCTGAGATGTTCACATTTGGAATTCACAAACTTAAAACTTTTTTCACAGTTTTAGGGTAATGAGGTAGAGAGACAAGAGTCACCGCTCTAGGTTTTGATATACATCTGAAGAAAGAGAAAAGATGGTCTAAAGAAAAGAAGTGAAGAACCTATTCGAATCCACTGATTTATCTCCAGCATGATGTGTCTATCAGCTGGCAACAGAGTTGAGACTTATACTACAGTAGCTGTCAAAAATCTAAACCATCAAAACACTGCAAAACAATGTATTCTTATTACCAGTGTCCTGACGCTGAAACATTCTCTGGTCCTCTCAAGGTTTTAGACTTATTGACAGCCACAGTTTTGTCTTCAGAATTATTGATCCAATCTGTCTTGAATTAAGGCCACAGCTTTTTCCAAACCTTTTAATCACTTGGCCACCACAAAAATCTCCAAAAACAGTTTAACCATGATCTAACTAAACAAAATATGTACCTCAATAACTAAAATTGTGTGTGCATATGCGCACATGTGTATGTGTGTGTATGTGTATTTGACAAGACACTGCTATATACCATCAAGATAACAACATGGATATAAATTATATATAAATATAAAGCAGGTACACTTCCAGAAGGAAGGCCAAAACCATGGACATAGGAGTTCTTCACAGAGAATATGAGCATCCTCAGCCAATCACATCATGAATTTCTCTACCCATGACCCACATGTTTAACTGTAAGGTAAAGACTTCAGGCTATGAGATTGGAAATGATAAAGCTTATTGATCATAGTTTTTGTCACAGCTGATTGTATCTCCTATCTATCCATAAAGTTTTAATCATGACTATCTAACTTACAGCTACCAATGGCAGCTTTCTTTAGACAAGATGGTCTTCTGTCAGACTTGCACCATTTTCTCAAATTTTCACTGTGGGCTGCATCACTACAAAATCAAATTTTAACTCCATTTTACTATATTCATTGGTTATAAAGCACTTTGTGGTTTCTCTAAATAAGGAAATATGTCTTAAATATTCCATTATTATCTTTGTGATCACAAGAGGATATAAAAGTTATGTTATCAGCAAATCGGTAACAGTTTAGGTGGATGAGTAGAAACAGGCAAAATACAATGCTGGTAGAGCATGAACTGTTCATCTTGGATTTCCTTGGAAAGGTGCTTAGCAATTCAGATTTTAGAGAAAATGAGTGGCAAGAGCGCTGACTAATCTGAACTTCAGCTGGTTTAGAATAGTACCTTGATGCTGGAGACCCTGGCCATGCTGAAAGTTAACCCTTCAATTGCTGGATTGTGGCAAGAGACAGGAGTGCTGAAGCAATAAGGAGCAGAAGAAAACTTGAGGGACTCAAGAAAGTTGCTATATAAAACCCATCCAAAAGCGTTTTTATATTTTAACACTAGGATGGCTATACTGTTGTAGAATGGCTGAATGTTAGTCCTTGTTTATGAATTTGCTTCCAACATGAATTTTTCTAACACTTAGGGTTTCAGAAAATGAGCCCTCATAGTTATAAAGGATATGTTAAGTTGGAAGTTAACTCTAAAATGTCTTTTTATTCCTCCAGTATCAATAAAGCACAGAACACTCAAGGAATGAATGTGGGTGTATGTGTGTGTGTGCATACACACTGGTAATGGCAGGTCTTAAAATTCAAACACCTAATAATTCCAAGTGTTTTAACATGGAATCCAAATGTCACAGCTTTACCAGCCCTTGAACACAGCTATTGTCATATTAATAGTAAAGTTTTATTTCCTATATTATCTCCCACTTTAACCCACAGATATTCCAGCTTCCTACCAAAATCTCCCCAGTACTCTGAAAGTTCTTGCAGTGTTTATCATGTGCTTGTGAAGCAGAATACCAGTTAGAGAAGCCATATGGCATCCACCGTGTTTTTATTGTCCTTCACTCTCCTACCCTCTTTATTGCTCTCTACACATGAGGTTTCTTGAATGTGTCTTGGATGCTGCTACTGTTATTATTTTGAGGACACTGTTTTATAAAGTATAGTTTCTACTGCTGCTTGACCAGGACTTTAGGTGCCAACTCCTCTCTATGGTCATGTTCTAGACCTTAATTCTGTGCGGCACTTTGTCACCAAGCCCACAGGGTATTACTACTTTTGCCCTGTCTCACAAAGTGTTTTAACCACCATTTGATAACTGCCCCCCCCAAATTCAAAGCAATTCTGGAAGGGCAGTGAATGTAATGACCCACAGCAGGTTGTGACTCAGGGGGACCATGAAAGTGTCCATCCTCTTGCACATTATGACTTACCTGAGCAACCTCCTTCTCAGGAGTTGATGAGGCTGTTGAAGACAAGATGGTTTCTATCTTTCTGTGACATCATCATCTTTAGTAACCAGTAAGTGTGGAGCTTCCAGGAACCATCTTGACACCATATGAAGGCAGTCTGAGAATAAAGCCAACAAGAGGGAAGCACAGCATGATTTAGAGTTGTGCCATCTAATTAGCCACTGGCTACATGTGGCTTTTTATACTTGAATTCATTTAAATTAAATTAAAACATTCATTTCCTTAGTTGCCATTAGCCACACTTCAAGTGCTAATAGTCACATAGACTATTGTACTGGATAAAGCATTTTATTGGACAGCGTGATCTACAGAGAGAAATAGAGCCCTAATTTCATCCTTTAAATCTCTGCATCTAGCCTTTCCTAAAGCTGGATCCACCTGAAATTCCATTTTGGTTTAAGCTAAAATAATGAAAGCTTGTTTAAGTTATATTTTTGACCTTTGAAAAATTTATATGCAGAAACTAGCCCTCAGGCCTATTGCCAGAATCAGATCAGGAAACAGACAACCTTCTCACATTTTCCCAATTTCTTCCCATGACCTTTCCTGACAAGATTCAATCTCACCCTCTCCTTGAGAACACACACACACACATCATGAAAAGAGATCAGAGGGCAGAGGTTTGGTAGATGTCACCACAAAGCCAGCCTCAACTATCAAAGATAAACAAAGCCAGACATTAGTTAAAGCAGTGAAAACAGATTTTATTCAGTAAATATTGACAGTAGGGGAAAGAGATAAGCTCCAGTCTGATTTGCAGAGGTGATTGGGCATTTTTCTTAACTGAAGTAGAGTTGACATATGATGTATTAGTTTCTTGTGTACAAGAGTGATTTGACAATTCTATACATTATAGAATGCTCACCGCAATAAATGTAGTCACCGTACAAAGTTATTATATTATTATTGACTGTATTCCCTATGCTGTACTTTTCATCCTTGTGACTTACTTATTTTATAACTTGAAGTTTGTACCTCTTAATCCCCTCCATATATTTTGCTCATCCTCCCACCCACCCCTCTCTGACACAACCAGTTTGTTCTCTGTGTTTATGAGTTTGTTTCTGGTGTGTGTGTGTGTGTGTGTGTGTGTGTGTTCATTTTATTTTTTTAGATTCCACATATAAGTGAAATTATATGGTATGTGTCTTTTTCTGCCTGACTTATTTTACTTAGCATAATACTCTCTAGATTGTATGGTATTTCCATTTTTATTTTTTTGTGGAACCTCCATAATTTTTTCTATATTGACTGCACCAATGTACCTTCCCACCAACAGTGCATGGGGGTTCCCTTTTCTACACATCCTCACTAATACTTGTTATTTCTTGTCTTTTGGTTACTAGCCATTCTGACTAATGTGAGGCAATATCTCACTGTGGCTTTGATTTACGTTTCCCTGATAAATAGTGATGCTGATCATCTTTTCATGTGTCAATTCCTCTGCCCACTTTTTAACTGGACATTTGTATTTTTGATGTTGAGATGTGTGAGTTTTGGATATTAACATTTTATTGGATACATCATTTGCAAATAGCTTCTCCCATTCAGTAGGACTGGGCATATTAAGAAAAAAACATTTTTTTTAAGATTTTATGTATTTATTTAGAGAGAAAGAGAGAGCTTGCACAGGGGGAGGGGGCAAAGGGAGAGGGAGAAATCATCTCAAGCAGACTCCACGCTCAGTACAGAGCCTGACCTGAGGCTCAATCTCATGACCCCAAGATCGCGACCTGAGCCGAAATCAAGAGTTGGATGCTTAACAGCCTGGGCGTTTTATTTATTTATTTATTTATTTTTAAAGATTTTATTTATTTATTTGAGAGAGAGAATGAGAGAGAGCACATGAGAGGGGGGAGGGTCAGAGGGAGAAGCAGACTCCCTGCCGAGCAGGGAGCCCGATGCGGGACTCGATCCAGGGACTCCAGGATCATGACCTGAGCCGAAGGCAGTCGCTTAACCAACTGAGCCACCCAGGCGCCCAGCCTGGGTGTTTTAAAGAGAGAATGAGGGTGTAGGGAAGAAATCGAAGTAGGGACTCAAAATTACAAAGGACTGGCCATTGTAAATGTGATTAGGCCAGACAGCTGTCTCTGCTACCTGACAATTATTGAAGTAGGAGAAATCCATTCTTCCATAGAGACTAGGGGAAATAGGCCCTCTTCTTCCTGATGATTACATTTCAAAGGAATGGCTTGCAAGACCTTGAGATAGATACTCCTGAGTTGTAGGAGATATATATACATCTCAAAGGGTCAGAGAAAAGATTTACAATTATAAGGCTTTTTTTAGTAAATGCTGTAAGGAAGCAAGATCAGGTGTTGCCTAGAACAAACAATATATTCTAAGCCCTGAGTTTTTCCAGGCAGAAACTCCTAAGGGGGCAGGGTTGTCCCAGGGACACGAGGCCTTAGGCTTGGAGAAGCCATGTTAAAGTTTGGCCAAGTCTCTTGGTGCAGGAGTTTCAATGGAGTATTCATGACAAGAGTTTTTTTCAGTTCTCACTATCTAGATTTTTCCAGAATGCACAGCAAAACAACGTATGTAATTTAATGCACAAGGCAATCCTCTGATATACATATCATTATCCCCATCTTACAGGTAAGGGAACCAAAGCTCAGAGGGCTTAAATCACTTGTTCAGGTCACATACTAATAAATTAAAAAGCATATTGGAACCTAGATTTCTCTGACTAAAGATTGTGTTTTTCCTCACATCACCCATAACTTTGTCTCCCTAGTGATCTCCCTCATTTTTCATGCATGTCTCTATAACTAGTTTACAGAAGTGCCCTTGCCTTTAAATGATAAAGCCAATAAGATGTGAATTGGGGGAAAAAGCCCTCACAAAATGTCAGAAACTTGTGATTAACAGGCAGCAGGTGTACAAACTGAAAGTGTTCGACTCACATCCATTGTCATCTCGGCAAATGGCTTGGCCCCAAAGTTGCTGAAGGGGGAAATTTGATTATCTTTGCTTCCCCAGAAGACTGATAAATCGAATTCAGACTGCTATTGTTCCAGATACAGCCTGAATCTTCCATAGGATTTTAATCAGCAGCAGCATTATGTAGCATATGGGAGCTATTTGGCTGAAAGGAAACTCCAACCGTCACTGGTACATCCGCCCAACATGAAAGGAAAATAATAATACGGAATAATGGGACTTTCTTATCTACAGTGCAGCCTCCCTCTGAGAAACTCTGTGGTTTACCCTACTACATCTTCACAACATCCTATTAGGTAGGTCAGAGAACTACTTGCCTATAATGTTTACTGGCTGATTCCACCAACATTTTAATCTCTTTCATGGCTCTTCTCTATCTGCATCTATAAATCCTATCTCTTCCCGCTTTTTGATCTCTTCTGTTCTCTTTAGTTTAATGAATAAGCCTTCACCTATCCCTCCCCATCTATACTGTTCTATCCTTAACTCCTTTTTCCTGCTACTATTTTTTTTTCCTTTCCTACTCTTATTTTATAAAAAGCCTAGATGGGAAATCAGTGCTCATAGAGTGACTAAGTCTTTAGCTCAATTATTTCATCCTGTTAGACTAGATGATGATCAAATGTAAAGGACACTCCACTTATTCACTTCCTTAGTCACCAAAACTTTACTGGATATATTTGTTTCGAATATATTTGATTCAAAGTTAGCATGTGATCCTTTTGTTCAAGCATGGGAAACAAACAACTAATGAAAAAGCAATGGGATGAGTGTCATCATTTTATTGAGCCCATTAAAGTATGGGAAAAACAAAGAGGGTTACCAATGTAGTGTCTATGGTGGCTGGTCCCTACAGCTTTCAGGTGTGATTCCAGAGCCAGGCTCGGAAACCAAACTTCAGGCTTCTTTTTATATCCCTCCCCCCTCTTTTGAACTTTCTTGACATACTTCCACTCCTAGACATTCAGAAAGACTGTGAAAGATATTATGAGGAATTGCCTAACAATCTCACACACACCCAAGAATGGCATTGACAAGACTGACTAGTAAATGATGAGTCAGCATTTTATTTTAAGGAACCTAGGAGTCAAACCTAAAGCTCTTGGCATATATATTTTCTTTTTTTTTTTTTTTTAAAGATTTTATTTATTTATTTGACAGAGAGAGAATGAGAGACAGAGAGCATGAGAGGGAGGAGGGTCAGAGGGAGAAGCAGACTCCCTGCCGAGCAGGGAGCCCGATGCGGGACTCGATCCCGGGACTCCAGGATCATGACCTGAGCCGAAGGCAGTCGCTTAACCAACTGAGCCACCCAGGCGCCCCCATATATATTTTCTAATAGCAGGAAAAGTGAAGAATGAACCACTGGTGCTATCAAGAAACAAAATAGGATTCTGAAATCGTGTGAAGACCCTCTTGACCTTTGTATTTTATCCAAAGTGTGGAATTCAAAGTGGTGGGCTAGTAAATGTCAGTTTTAAACCCTCAGGTAAGAGAGAGAGTCTTTAATCAGATGACAGAGAGAAGGATGGTTGAAAGCAGAAATGGCCAAGAATGACAACTCCTTCAGTGCTGGACCATGTCAGATTAGATTTCCTTTCCCTGTCCCTAGTCCTGCTTGCCTAACTTCAAAAATTCAACTTCCAGAAGTGATAGGAAGTGCTTTCTTTATCATGGTGTTGCCATCAGAACACTCAAGTCATGAAAAGAAATGCCTAAAGTAATGGGTGCTTGCAAAAGAAAATCTATGTTGATTTTGTACATGGGTAAGAATTCTGTAAAAGAGAATTCTTCCTTCAGAATCAAAATTAAAAAAAAAAAAAAATCTCTTCCATTAGCATCAAACCCTAGGAAGAATCAGGCAGCAGAACAATTCTGGTGTCTCAGATAAGGCCTGAAAATGAGACTCTAATCACTTGGGATTCTGAGAGGAGTGATAACGTTGTTGAGGTTTTATAGTGAGCATGACAATTAAGTAGTAAATGGGCTCAAGGTAAGACTGTAATATAATCCATTAAGTTTTTTTTAATTGAAAATATAACCTGTTTTTTTCCTTTCCTGTTTGTATAAATGTAATACCTGGGACAAAATAGATGCTAAATAAATGTTTGTTGCATGCGTGAATGAATAAAAAAAATGAATAGACATTTTCAAATGCTCCAAACCAAGATTAAATATCATTTGCTTAAAGAATTATAAAAAGAAAAGACTGTTATGTTCAAAAGCCACACACAAGGAACTAATAAAAATACTAAACAAAAAGTCCCAAACTCACATATTAATCTCCCAACAAGTTTGTTAATCTTGATTTGCACTGACAACACTGGTATCACATAACTGATACATGTTAGGCTAACTGACTAACTGCTTCAACAAATACGCCCTGTCGTCACAAAATAAAATTTTCTTTCTTGCTTATGTAAGAAGCCAATGGCAGGAGTGGGATTTGGGGGCAAAGAGTCCTGCACCATGAAGTTATTCAAGGACACTAATCTTTTTAATCTATTTGCTCCAGCACCCCCCATCACCCCCCATCAGCCAGCACCCCCCATCACCTCAGAGTTGTGCACTGAATTCCCTACATTCAGCCAACAGATGATGGAAGAGAGGAAGCATATGACCAGGGGTGTGGCAGGTTTTGTGGTCTAGGCATGCAGATGGGCACATCACCTTGGCTCACATTTCACTGGCCCGAACTCAGTACTTGACTTTATGTTTGAAGAACTAAAAAGTTTCACTTTGATAAATAAATAATAGGCACTACTAGTTTTTAGGCAAAGAAATGACCAAGATGCAAATGGGGAGTTACACCAGCCATATTGAATAGAAGAAACTAGCAATGTGGTTAAATTAGAGCCTGGGAGACCTGGTAAGAAGCTACTGCAGTCCTATGGGCAGAGAATGATGAAGCCCAGGGTGAAACAGCAGAAAAAGAATGACAAGAAAATGAGAAATATAAGGATATGTTGACTGATTTGCTGAGTGAGCAGAAAAGAACTAAGTGACAGTCTTGGGTTTTATATATTTATATGAGCATATATATTTAAATTTCAGTGGTCTTTTAGTTAACTGATGCATGTTTTGTTGGTTTATTCATTTTTATCCACAGAGATTAGAAAAAAAAGATTTAGATGTGAAGAAAACTGAACAGAGTACAGTGTCTGTGGGAAGTCAAGGGAAATCTAATGGAGAAATAAGGAAAACAGATGAAGGGAATGTTTTGGGATTCTGTAGAACGCAGTGAGGGTTTTGAAGTGAATGTGTGACAGCAAAATTAAGTGTCAAAAGAGGAAAACTTACATCCAAAACACTTCTCTGTATTTGTTATGTTGCTATTTGCCACAACTGTCAAACATTCAGATGCCAATAAAATGCTTGAATAAATAATTCCATTTTGGCTGTGGCAACTGGCTTACAGTATGCATTTTGGAGGCTCCTGGAAAGATGTTGTTTTTAGTGCTTACAAGAGAAAAACTATACCTGGAGAGGCTAACTGGTAACCAATTAATCAGACAATTGATCTAATGGAAATGAGCTTTAATCACATTGTTAGATGCATTATAGCAATTAACTAATGCTCAGGTTTAAAATACGCAATGTAAAATTCATTACTTAGACAAAGAAGGGTGTCATTAATCCCTGGAAAAACAAATACGTACCTTTTAAAGCCTTCCTGCAGCCTTCTGCAGTTTGTGAGAGACATGGGCTGAGGGCTGAGTGCACAGAGATCCTGTTAGAGGTGATAACCGCCAGAGCAAGGAACTGAATGTGAAGGAATGCATTTCCATCCCTCACACAGGTCAGCCCGCCTCTTGAGTCACATCTGGGATGAACTTCCAGAGAATTCTAGAATGTACTCCTTGTAGTGAAAACAATCAAAGTAAAATGAAATAGACTCCTTTGGGCCTTTTACATATTTATTATTTATTTATTATTTTTACAGGAAGAAACAAATCCACATATATCTCTCAGTTGTTCAGTATAAAATTTGTAGAGATACTTTGAGGCATCTGTGTTGTCTGTAGGCAATAGGAACATTTTTAATAAAATTGTTATTAATTTTTCAGCAGCTATGCAACAATCTACATGTACAAGTAGTCTATCAAAACGAATTCCTTTTATCATACATATTCATAAAGCAGAATTTGAAATGTTTAAGCACCCACATTAAGTCCCAAGCATAGTAACAGATTTGGAGTGCAAAACGGAGCAGAAGAGTCCCTGAGTAGGAATATGTCATTGCTACCAAATGACAGAGCACCAAAGAATATTTGAGCTATCATGAACCAAGCATTCGCCACTTACTTCTTTCTCAACCAAATAAGGTACTAATACTATTCTAAGTTTACAAATGAGGAAACTGAGGCACAAGATGATAGAGTAATTTATTGTAGTCACACAGTTTGGAAGTGGCAGAGTAATTGTAGTGCTAGACTTGATGTGTCTTGGAGCAAGAGCACAAAGAGTATTCCACCATCAGAAGCCACATGTGTGATTTTTGGGGTGGGTGGCAGGGTGCGGGTAGGAAAAAGAGCACAAGATGGGGCACCAGGGTGGCTCAGTCAGTTAAGCGTCTGCCTTCAGCTCAGGTCGTGATCCCAGGGTCCTGGGATCGAGGCCCATATCGGGCCCCCTGTTCAGCAGGGAGCCTGCTTCTCCCTCTCCCACTCCCCCTGCTTGTACTCTCTCTCTCTCTGTCAAATAAATAAATAAAATCTTAAAAAAAGAAAGAAAGAAAGAAAAAGAGCACAGGAGATGAAGCAGAAGTGATAAGCAGAGGTCAGGCCATGAAGAAATGTGAGTTAACAGAAATTACAAAACTATTGCTAATGATTCCAATAAAGATGGTGATAGTCATCAAGCTCTGGCTATGTATAATACATCAAAAAAGTAATAGATAAATCACAGTTAGGGCCTCAGCCAAATGCATCAATTTCCTGTCCTTTGAAAAACAAGTTCTACTCAATAGCCCTCCTTTGACAGATACTGGGAAATAAGAAAGATTTGTTTAGTTGTAATTAACCTTGGTCATCCTTCCTGAATTGTTGCTTAAGTCCCAAAGAATTCTTTTTTTTTTCTTTTTCTTTTATTTTATTATGTTATGTTAATCACCATACATCATTAGTTTTTGATGTAGTGTTCCATAATTCATTGTTTGCATATAACACCTAGTGCTCCATTCAGTACGTGCCCTCTTTAATACCCATCACCAGGCTAACCCATCCCC